AGTGTAAAACATTTAATTAGATGTATTTAGAGAAAAATAATTTCTATTTCTATTTGGACTCAGATCACACCCATTACTGAAAAATCCTAAGAGAACTAAAATCAAGCAGAGAGCTCTGAAGCTCTTAAATCACAGACAATAGAGTATAATGTGGGGAATATGTACAGAATATGTACAGGCAACAGTCTTCCTATCCTGCATGTCTTATTGGTAGAAGACCTGAGAAGTGTTGTAACAAATCTGAACAATCCCAAAGGCACAATTTAGTGTAGAACAGTGTCAGTGGTTGGCCCCAAACCAAAATAAAAGGGAAAGCAGCTCTCCGCAGCATAGTATCTCTATCAACCCACTGAGCACAAAAAACATGACAAGTCTTCTGAAAGATTGGAAGAAGAAATAATAGTCAACCAAATAACTTCACTTAACAGTTCTTGGGTTGCAGTAGCTAGTTTTTAATAACGTCATCCCTTTTTAAATATTCAAGAAAACGTTTTCTTTGGGGTGGGGGGGGAAATCACTCTAACAGCAAAAAGTCAATCAATGTCCACTGAACAGAAATAGGAAGTTCTTATATTTGAAATCAGTTAAATACTTAAGTATAAGCAAATTGTTTATATTTATACTAGTAGAACCCATTCTGCCTCAACTCTGAAGTAGGCTGGTTTAGTTTATCAACAGCCCAGAAGTTTCAGTACCCTTATTTCTAACGTTAGCAGTCTGTTTACACTATAACAAAACAGAATAAAGCAATCTGCCTACACTTTTTCAATTACCCTGTGAGACAGCAATGAGTTTAGGATCCTGAGGAAAGGAAGGATGGAGAGCAAAGTAAGGACCCTGGACTCCATAAAAGCAGACTGACTTGCTCAGGGAATTCATGGGCAGGATCCCCTGGGAAGCCGGTCTGAGGAGCAGAGGAGTCTAGGAGAGCTGACTGTACTTTAAAGAAGCCTTACTGAGAGTGCAGGAACAAACCATACCGATATGCAGGAAGACTAGCAAGTATGGCAGAAGACCAGTTTGGCTTAGCAGGAAATTCTTCAGTAAATTAAATCACAAAAAGGAAGCTTATAAGTGGAAACTTGGACAAACAACTAGGGAAGAATATAAGAGCATTGCTTGGGCATGCACGGATAAAGTCAGGAAGGCCAAACTGCAATTAGGGTTGCAGCTAGCAAGGGATGTGAAGGGAAACAAGAAGGGTTTCTACAAGTATGTCAGTAACAAGATGATGAGGGAAAGTGTGGGTCCCTTACTGAAGGTCAGGGGCAACCTAGTGACAGAGAATGCAGAAAGGCTGAAGTATTCGATGCTTTTTTCAACTCAGTCTTCACAGGCAAGGTCAGCTCCCAGACTACTGCACCTGGCAGCAGTCTGGGGAGGAGGCAAGCAGCTAAGTGGCAAAACAGGTTAAGGTGCTGAGGGAGGTGGCTGATCTGACTGCAGAGCCACTGGCCATCATCTCTGCAAACTCACGGTGATCAGGAGAGGTCCCAGATAATTGGAAAACGGCAAACGTAGTGCCCATATTTAAAAGAGGGAAAAAGGAGGATCCAGGGAACTACAGGCCAGTCAACCTCACCTTAGTCCCTGGAAAAATCATGGAACAGATCCTCAAGGAATCCATTTCTAAGAACTTGGAATAGAAAAAGGTGATTAGGAACAGTCAGCATGGATTCACCAAGGGCAAGTCATGCCTGACCAACCCCGACTGCCTTCTATGATGAGATGACTGGCTATGTGGATGCAGGATACCTTGATCTAAGCAAGGCTTTTGATACAGTCTTCCACAACATTCTTTCAGGCAAGCTATGAAAGTACGGGTTGGAAGAATGAACTAAAAGGTAGATAAAAAACTAGCTGGAGTCATTGGGTTCAGGGGGTAGTAATCAATGGCTTGATGTCTAGTTGGCAGCCAGCATCAAGTGGAGTGCTCCAGGGGTCAGTCCTGGGGCTGGTTTGTTCAATATCTTCATCAATGACCTGGAAGATGGCAGAGAGTGCACCCTAAGCAAGTCTGCAGATTACACCAACCTGGTGGGAGTAGTAGATACACTGCAGGGTAGGACTAGGATTCAGAATGACCTGGATATGTTGGAGGATTGGGCCAAAAGAAATCTCATGAAATTCAACAAGGACAAGCGCAAAGCCCTGCCCTTAGGACAGAACAATCCCATCCACTGGGACAGGCTGGGGGCCGACTCACTGGACAGCAGCTCTTAGATTCATAGATGTTAGGGTCGGAAGGGACCTCAATAGATCATCGAGTCCGACCCCCTGCATAGGCTGCAAAGAGTGCTGGGTCTAGATGACCCCAGCTAGATGCCTATCCAACCTCCTCTTGAAGACCCCCAGGGTAGGGGAGAGCACCACCTCCCTTGGGAGCCAATTCCAGACCTTGGCCACTCGAACTGTGAAGAAGTTCTTCCTAATGTCCAATCTAAATCTGCTCTCTGCTAGCTTGTGGCCATTATTTCTTGTTACCCCCAGGGGTGTCTTGGTGAATAAAACCTCACCAATTCCCTTCTGTGCCCCCGTGATGAACTTATAGGCAGCCACAAGGTCGCCTCTCAACCTTCTCTTGCGGAGGCTGAAAAGGTCCAGGT